CTGTGTGTACCCTTTGCAGATCCATGTTTCCTCATAAGCTGTGAAGGAAGTCTGACTAACTGGCTTAGCTTTGTGGTTTTTCCATACTCCTTTAAAGCATTGCAATATCTACATAAATCTCACTGCCTCCCTAAAATTGAGGAGAAAAAGTGACAAATGTTGATCCATCCTTCAAATTCAATACTGTGCTGATAAAGGAATTATTGACCTTGGCCCTAGTTACCTCTTGAGATGAGATTGTCCTGCAGAGGGTATAGATAAGGCTGTGCTACTGCTGTGACTTTACCAAAAGCATGGAGATTTAAAGTTGGAATTAAGCTAGATCTTCTCTCCTGTTTGTGCTGTGGGGAAGGCTCTGAATTGCTGAGAGCTGCTCAGATCTTTCCAGCTGGAAGATTTCTCCAAGAGGGCTGAGGGATGATGACCTGAGCCAGTTTTCAGCCATGTAATCACTGCTTGTGCGAGATGCTTTGTTTTATCCCAATTTTCAGCTGCTCTTGTGTCCACAGGGAACTAAAAACATCTGAACTACTTGTGTCCAAGCCAAAGCTTTGACTGCAAGAGTGGTGCTGACCCTGGAGGTATAACATGATAATTTCCATCAGCTACATATTTCTCCTTTCCTCACATACCTGTTACTTGTCTCTAGCATCAGTGCTTGCCTAGAAATATCTGCATGGGCAGGACTTCACAGACAAAGAGATGCTTCTCAAATCATTCAAGTTTTATATCATACCATAAAATAGCTTTGATTGGAAGGGACCTTAAAGACTGTTGATTTCCAGCACCCCTGCTGAAGACTGGTTGCCAGCTCTAGATCAGGCTGCCCATTCAACCTGCTCTTGAACACCTCCAAGGATGGGGCAAAAGTTTTATAATGAAACATGCTATAGACATATTTTCCTCATTTTTCCTCCTTCCATTTTGAAGGACACAGAGCATTCTGATGTTCATAAAAACAGGAGAAAAAAATGCAAGGCCATGCCCTTGGATTCATCTCCTGGACCCTGATGCTTGGCTGCTAGTGCCAGCTGGACCCCATGCTCAGCACCCTCTGCAGATCTGCCAATGCATTCCCTGCTCCCTGCTGACTTATGATGTCACTTGGAGCAAAAATTCATCTCTTTTATTGTAAAGCCGAAAATAAAAGCAGCAGTACCCAGGCTTCTCAGCTGGTATAAAAAGGAGAGCTGTGTTGGTTTATACCAACTGAGGATGTGGTCCAAGCCATTTGGGGAGTGTGGTTGTTGTTTTTCCCCCCCTGCAAGCTATTTGCTATAATCTCAAGGACATTAGAAAAAAAATGTTAACACCAGCCAGTTGGGGGCAGGAGTGAAAAACACCCTGAAAATTTAATATAGTTGCAGAGCACTTCTTGCTTCTTCCATTAAATAAGATTCTCAGGTTACCAGAAAGGAATTTGTTGTACTTCGCCATATTTCCCTGCTAGTGAAACAAGAGACCAAAATATCTCAGAATAAATGACCAGGCCTAGAACTACTAGGGGTTAGGGCCCTTACACCCTTACCAATCCAAGGTCGATTAGGCATCAATTTCCAAATCCTTGGCAATACAAATAGGAAATGTGGGAGGTTCATTGTCTTCAGCTTGCTGCTGCTGGCTTGATGCAATAGCTATACATCACACAGAGGACTGACAGGCTCAGAATGTCCATGTCAATCTGCAGCTGCCTTTAATCACACACAGATTTATGAGACGCCCCCCACACCCCTGTGGAGATCTAGAAACTGTGCTTTGTTTTGACTTGACGTACATTTTTCCATTTAAGATTAATAAGTATGAGCCTTATTAGACTGCAGCTACGAACCAGGAGGGGCAAAGCCCCATCCGAAATGGAGGAAATGATGATGTAATTTTGAACCGTTAAGGACTGAAGGGATTAAAAGATTTGGAGTAGGATTTGGAAAGTCTCTGGTGTTGCTTACGGTAGGGCTGTATTGCCTGCCTCGCCATCTGGACAGAAAAGGCCTTTTTCCTATTTACTGGTTTGGGGTTGTTGTTATAGCTGTGCTGCTCACGAGCACCGCTGCATTTAATGCTCCATCATCATTTCCATCATAAACCCTTTTCTGCCCTGAGGGGCTACAACATCACAGTAAATATTTGCTGTGGGGTAGATTTTGCCACCAGGGCCTGGGCTCGGGCCGAAGAGCAGCAGGGGCACTCAGCAGGATCAGACTTGGAAGCTTTCCACCATATAGCAACTTTACACTTACCTCACTTTGCTAGATTGAACATTTCTAGCCATTAACAACAACCATGGACCAAAGGCTGATGCTCCTTTTCCATGGGTTTGGACAGCTTCATGATGTGACCATCATGGTGGGAGGACACATGCCCTGAGTGATCCTGGCTGATGCTCTGCACATGAGGACATGTCAAAACACAGCAGCACACTGGTTCAGCTGCATGCTGGCTCAGCAGCACAGTGACCCCAGGCAGCTGGCTTCCCAATTTCACTTCTTGCTTTCTAATGCAGCGAGCTGGATTTGCATGGAGAGGGGAGCAGCTGTATTTCTCAGCATCTCTGTGATGCTGCTCTCCTAAAAGAGGTCTGAGAGAGCAAAAGTGAAGTCACCTCATGCTATGGAGATTGCACTACAGCTCTGTACTGCTCAGCTCCTACTGCTGGTCCTTGCTGTGTTATATACCAGTAGTTTGCTAGTGTACAATAGTCATTCTTAATTTTAAGAGAAATGAATTTCTTCTTTTAACTGCATAATTAAAGCCTCCTTGTAAATCCAAATCCTCCTTATTACCCAAATGTAGTTTCCCTGAACAGAGCAGGCATCAAGTAACAGGTGGGGCATCACCTGCTCCTATGCAAACGACCTGCCCACCAGGATTCTCTCTGCCCTCCTGTGTTATTTTCCCAAGGTCAGGTTCTGTGTCTGACTGCAGCTCCAGGCCCTTGCTGTTTTTTCCTATTTGCTCCCATGCCCAGTTCCTCTAGCATACAGAGAGTTAGAATCAGAGCTGTACACCATTGCACTTGCATCATCAGAAGTGTCTATTTTAAGTTTCTCACAGAAAACTAAATTTTCCAGTTATAGATATATCTATATCAAGTACAAGAGGGAATTTGAGTTCAGAATAAGTTAACAGATGGCAAGACAATGAATTAACTTCTAAGAGCAGAAGAGGTAGTTTGACATGTGCTTCCTTCCTGATGAGCAAATCTCATCAGCTTCCTAAATATGTGGAAAGCAATTATGCAAAGAAATGGGTGTATCCTCCAGTACAAAACTGATTCAGAAATACATTTTCCAAGCCTGAACTGTCGTTACTCTGCTATCCTGAAGCACAGCATGAACTTGTGATCTACTCTTGTTAGCTTTAATCACAAAGCAAGCAAGTAAAATCAGCAATCCAGACTCACTGAAATTAATGTAAGAGGCCTGATAAACCTGCAAGAGCAACCACAGCTGCAAGTCAGAGGCTCAAAAGAAATAAAAGTACATCAATCTAACACAAGAGGATTCCAAGTATCTGCTTCCTCATTTGTCTCCAAAGTCAGGGGAAACTGAGTGCTGTAATACGCTCTGATAACAACTTCCATGAACTCCTCATCTGAACAGAAATAGCACAGGAACTGTCTTACAAAGGTGGTCGTAAATCAAAAAGGAAACAACAGTTTTAGTGGAACCTCTGGGAGCTGAAGAGTGAGGCATTCTGTTGCAGCACAAAAGCTGGCCATGAACACAGAGCTAAATGAACCTAAAAAAAATGAGTAGTGATTTACAGGATTCATATTCTTCTATTATTTTTATTATTATTTTATTACACAGTTCATCCAGCTCCAGCTGAAATGTCAAAACTCACCAAAGCTGTGTTAGCCACTGCAATGGGCAACATAAGACCTAATATTGTGGAAGGGAAGTCACGTCTGTCTGTCTGTCTCACACCCAGGCACACTTCTATGCTAGGACATGGGGTGCTGCTATGGATCTAGCTTCTGCAGAGCATGGCAGCCTTCATCAGCTGAAATAATATGGCACAGGAATTTTATGAAGCTGCTCTATTGCACTGAGTGAATAAAAATGCAGCAAAGCCAATATTGCTTGCTAGTGACTGACACTGGTATGGTTTTATCATCTTCTGTTTTCACTCTCTCTGTGCCATCCTTAGAGCAGTTGCAAGCTGCCAACCAGAAGCAGATTTCAGTGCTCAGAGCGAGTGCTGCATCCTTTCTGCAGATGCTGTGCACATCACGTATACAAGGAAAAGGACTGGAAAAGTACCTCAGGAGGGTACCTTGCCATAAGTCACACTTTCAAGATTATAAGTGGCAGCTGACTGCTAGGCTGAAGGCAACAACCAGTTTCACTTCAATTATATTTCCAACCCTCAGCTGTCACCTGGATAGGTGGTACTGCACCACCACTTTGTTCTCAGGCCTGGAAGGAGTTTGCTCCCTCCTTCCCTGAGCCCTAAGGGACAGGTGGAGGTTTGCCACCAGTGTGGGAGGAAATCTCCCCCTTGATTCCAGATGCATGACATTATATCTGTAAATTCTGGTCAGCGTTGCCATTGCTGGCTTCCATGGGGTTGTTTGAAAGGGCTTTTTCCCATTGTTTTTCCAAGGACCTGCCCAAAAATGTTTCCATCCAAACCACCATCACACAGAGCTCCAACAGAGGAGCAAAGAACAATAGCACACAAGGTTCCAAGTTCAATAGCAATTTCAAGGATTTCAACTGTCAAAGTTAATTAGTGGCAATTTCTCTTAGGGCTCCTTTGCTTAACCCCTGAAGGACAATGCTTGGAAAGCTGCTGGGTGAGAGGGCACGAGAGGTCAGAAGAGCAGTTTTGCAGCAGCCAGGAAGAATTAAGAAAGCTAAACTGAAAAACAGAATGTGTGGTGAAGTGAAAATTTCAGGCAAAATGAGATTGACCTTTTATTTCTACTTTTGTTAAGAAATAGGCATGAGCCTGGAGGGTGGGGTCCAAAGCCTGGATTTTGGGCAGGACTACTTTAGCAAGCTGACCATATGCCAGCTCTTGTTCCAGGGCAAGCACCTCCCAGCTTCAGGGTATTTTAAAGAAGCCTGGATCCTGATCTGAAACCTGTGGCTTGGGCTTGCTCCTGAACTTTTCCTTACTAAAAGGAAGAGCCATCCTATGGTAAGCCTCTGCAGAATAACACCGGAGTTCTGCTTTCTTGCAGGAATCTGCCTTGACATGCTTTCCCTGATAAAAGGTATAGCTGCTAAATACAAGACTGAAAGCCAGAAGAATTGGGAAAGCCAACCTTTGAAAACACTGAAGCACAAACAACTTCCAAACGACACACCAGAGCAGTTCCTGACCCTCCTGCACAAGGACCAAGATGTTCTGAGCAAGCCCCTCCAAGCAAACTGCATTGCAGGATGCCAGCTGGGTGCAGCCCCTTTCCTCATGGAAGCTGTTCTTCCTCAGTATCACCTCTGAAATAAAAGGCACAGCACACAGTGTCCTTGACTGAGCCCATAGCAGAGCTGATAGCAAGGAGCAACTCCATTGGGACCTCATGCTGGACAGACATACCCTGAGCCACGGCCAAGATCTCACAAGAAGGCCATACGCCCTTGGTTGGCTCAGGAGGACGTGTGGAAGCTCCTTATTTCAGGTCCCATCAGTCTATAAACCTGTGAGGATTCAAGTTTTTTCTTCTAGGAGGGCCAAGGGATTATGAGTGCTCCCCAAGCCACAGCTTAAGAGAGAAGATCAAATGGAGAACACCGAGTCCAACATCCTGCACCACTTAATCCCCATGTACACTGTGCCCCTCCCATGGGCTTGTCCCATAGGAGCATCTCCCAAAGCTGCCCCACTGTTACTCACACACACCCCACAGCACATAGCACAGCAAGATCAAAGCAACAAGCCCTAGTCAGTAACCAGCCCCTGAGGCCCAGCCTTTGCTGACTCTTGACATCACACTACTTTACTCCCTCTATTTTGACATACTTATGTTCTGTGCATGGTGTCACAGGTGGGAACTGACCAGATTTAAGGGCTGACCACAGAATACAGCAAGTGTAGCTCAGTAAAAAAACAAGGGAGCATTCAGAATATCAGCACTTCAGTGTTACCTGAGATGCAGCATTTGCTGGTAGCATTCCTGGGGCTCCTGCCCATCTTGCAAACAGCAGCAGCTGAAGCATAGGCAAATCCTCAATACCACTCCAGAGAAAAACATAAGAACCCTGCATTTGAGCAAAATGCCCAGCAGTATCCCTCTCCCAGAGCTCAGGATCTGATATAAATGAGGAGGGGAAGCTGACAGCAGATGGAGGCCTTCAGGCTAATGACCTCCAGCAATTTGTCTGCAGGTGCTGTACAGGTGGCCTGAGCCCAGGGGCACCCTAGGAAAAATGATGGTAATTCCACACCTACTATTGCTCCATCCAAGCTATAGGCTTGGGATGCTGAAAAAAAAATGCATGTTAACAACTTAGAGTTTTTTCCCTGACCATTTTGAAGGAGGAGCAGAAGATTTGATGCCATAAAAAGGTTTTATTGCTAATTCAGTTGCTTGCAGCCTGTCAGTTTTGATAGAACCCCACAGATGAGCCCTTGCCTATGGATTACAAGGGCATTCAGAAGCTAACCCCAGTGGTGTTTAAAAAACAAAACTAAAGATGACATATATTCTTTCCTAAGGCCAGCAAGGCCTTCAGCAAGTGCTGGGTAAGGCATGGGGCTTTCATGAGTGACAAACCCTCTGCTGCCTCCTGAAATGGGCTCCAGTTCCTCTTCAAACTGCTGATGGAGGGCTGTGGCTGCATTAAGGTTTACAGCTGTTGGGCAGCTCTTCATGCTAAGCCAAATTCTCAAGGCACGTGAACCTCAGAAGTCACAGTAATTTCTAAGGAGAAGCAGAAACTAATACTGGTGAGAGCTAGATCTTGTGTTATCAGCAAATCTTGTTTCTGGAATCAAATAAAAAACCTTCACCACTATTCTGTGCTCTGACGTAGAGAACGTGCTATGAAATAAAGTCACTTGTTTATACTGCATGCTCTACTGGTTCCTAACATCAGATACAGCTCTGTGATCAAGTGAGAGTTTTATTGTGCATTTGTTCACGTTGCACGTGCAATGCTTGGGTTTTATCCCAGCAAGCAGCTATCATCCTTTCCCCTCCTAGGGACACACGCAAGGCTTGGTGTGGGCTGACCCCAGGTTTACTGAGGCACCCAAGGCTTTGTCCACATGCTCAGCATCTGGGAGGGGGTAGGAAAGTGCTGGGGAGGTCTCACTCAGATGGCAGAAGAGTCCCTTAAACTCAGCGTGGACTGAGAGCGGGAACAGACAGGGATCAGAAGAGGTGGCTGTTCAAAGAATGAGAGTAGGGGTATGGAACCGAAGGAAAACCACGTCGTGCTGCATATGTGAGATTTGTCTTCCTCCTTTATAACTGGGAACCTGCCTCGCCATAAGAGAAACTCTTATGTCAGCACCCATCCCACGCGATGGGGCACCTTGTGCACTCAGCAGGAGACATGAGACCAAGGGGGAAGGGATTTTCTGAAAGCAAATGGGTGTTTTTCAGCCACTACTAAATAAAGAGCCCCTTCAGAGAAGAGAAGGCCCCATCCGTGCCACCACCGCCACCTGAGACTGAATACATTCCCTGGGGGCCTATTTTCCCAGAGTACAGAATGCTCTGCCCGTCTTCTGTCTCTTGTTGGGCCAACACACCAAGCAGGGAAAAGGAGCATGGACAGAGTACAAACAGTGACAGCATGACCAGGCAGCCGTATTTCTTTGTCGTGGTGTTTCCATACTGCGAGTTCAGTCCAAGCTTTCCTCTGAAGAAGTCTCCTGGGGGATGTTTGATCTTCCCACTTGTTTTTGTTCCATCTGTCTTTTCAGAAAGTCCCCGAGGAATATTTATTCTTTCCTTGGAATCTGCTGTCTCTTTCATAAACTCTTTCTCACTTCTGCTATAAAAACATACCCGGGACAGAACTTCATCCAGCTTCCAATTTAATTTTATTCTTGGGCAGTTTATACCCAGTTGTTTCCATGCTTTAACCTGAGTAGCTCTTTTCCATCCCCGGTGTGCTGCCTCACAATGTGTGAAAAGTAAATTACTTCTTATGAGGGCACCTCACGTTTCTTTATGTTTCAGATGGGCTGTCTTGGACTTACCACAGACCACTTATAAATTGTTGATGAGCTTCCCTTCAAAGACTTTGGCATGCATCAGGATATCAGCTAGATACAAGAAGCTGGAAGAAAGGCACATACCCCACTGCAGCTTCTTTATTAATGGGGATTTTTCAAGCTGAAAGCCATCTCTCTGAACGAGTGCAAGCCTCGTCCTGCAATAAGTGTAAGGATTTATCTTCCTGTCTTTTGTATTCACCACTATTTTCCAACACCTATTTCCAGATCTCATAAGGAAATCCCAGCTGTATTCGTATGTGGAACGGGTTGCACAGAGAGGTTGTGGATACCCCCTCCCTGGAAGCATTCAAGGCCAGACTGGATGGGGCTGTGAGCAACCTGCTCCAGAGGGAGGTGTCCCTGCCTTTAGCAGGGGGTTGGAACTGGATGGTCTTAAAGGTCCCTTCCAACCCAAAGCCACATTCAGTTGCCAGCACACCTCATGACATAACCCTCCACAGTTTGACACCTCGGCGTTGTGTCACCTCCTCCTCTATCCTGTGCACGTGGGAGCAGCTCCTATCAGATGCTTCTGAAATTCTGTTCTGGGTTATTTTGTATGGTGGGAGACTTTTTCTGCAGCCACATGGTTGGGTATTTTGTTGGTTGGTTTTGTGTGTGTGTGTTTGTTTTCCTGGGTGTCAAAGCCCACGTAAATAAATCCATTGCACATTCATCCTGGCAGACCTCACTATACCAAGAACACCCATTTCTTCTGTTTTTCTACACTTTCAAGCAGGGTATCCATCTACTTTTCTTCCAGTTTAAGCTCTTGCCAGGCCAGGTTAGTGCTAGTTTATGTTGTACAGCGTCTGCGCAATTCAGCTTTCTTGCTTTGTAGACGACAGTGTTGAGCAAAACTGAAAAACCTTTGAGGATTTTTTGCATTATCTGAAAAGATAAAACCTCCCTTATTTACACTTCTGAATTATGGATGGGCACAGAAACACACTGCAAATGTCCTGTGTTAGCCAAATTCCCCAGCTGGCCCAGTTCCCACACCAAGGAGACTGACCTTCATTGGTCTTTGTGACCTTCTGTCACCTTAGTCAGGAAATCTTTCAGTTCCCAAAAAGCAATTGCAGAAGCAGGAATTTGCTGCATCATCTTTTGCGTTATTAAGCACCACATAGTTTGAGGAATATAACCAAATGCACCAGTCTCCTTTCAACGCCACATTTGTAGATGTTTTCAGGTTAAATCAAGCTATTCTTAGACTAAATAACTGTAACCTTTTCACTCACCTTCTGCTGGTTTGTCCTGGCAGCAGCAGGACTGAAGATGCACGCAATCTGTATTGAGAAATGAGTGTGCAGGGCAGCCTCTCATCCCCCCTCAAACCTGATGCTATTCATGCTGAAGTTGTGTGTGGGGAAAAACCATAGTAAGGAAAGCATATACAAGCCATAGCAAAGGGGGGTGAGAACCAGAAACCACCACATTTCTGTCCATATCAATTTAACTGGACTCAATAATCCATATGGATCCCTTCCAACTTGGGATATTGTATGACTGTTCTTTCCTGAAAGTCCTTAGAGTCTTTTATTCCCTTTGGGACACGATCCAAACACTGCTTATCTGAACTTGCCCACTTTGCTCTTTTCCTTCTGAGAACCTGATTGGGAATATGTACACCATAAAAACACTGTGGGGTTTTGGGCTTCCCCCATCCCTGTCACAGAGCCTAGTGTGTGTCACCTGCAAAATAAATCAGTGCAAAGGTAGACACATGCTTTATAATTAAGACTCCTTCAGTAGTTTTTCTGGCTCCATTTTACAAAATTCTGAATCACCCTGGCTCAAGCTGGAAGGAATCAGTATTACTAGGAGGAGAGAGGGGTCCTAAGTGCCTTCACACACACACACAGGTCATACGATTCTGTAATTCTGTAAGTAACTCTTGCCCTGTCTATGGGGCATCTTGTGGAGCTGCTGGGATTTTGAACATCTCCTGCTTGTTTCCAGAGCATCTCACGATGTCCCAGGTGACATCCCAAAGGGCTAAAGCCCTCTTTCCCCCACTGATGGAAGATGATGTAAGACATAGTCACAGAATTGCAGGGGTTGGATGGGACCTCAAGAGATCATCAAATCCAACCCCTGCTAAAGCAGGCTCCCTACAATAGGTCAGACAAGTAGACGTCCAGATGGGTCTTGAATATCTCCACAGAAGGAGACTCCACAACCTCTCAGGGTAACCTTTTATCATAAAAAAGTTCTTCTGCATGTCTGTACGGAACTTCCTCTGTTCAATATTTAGGCTGTTACTCCTTACCTATCACTACACACCTCCAAGAAGAGCCTGGCCTCATCCATTTGCCTTCCACATCCCCTTAGATATTTACAACATTTATCAGATTCCCTCTCAGTCTTCTTTTCCCCAGGCTGAACAGACCCTTGTTTCTCAGCCTTTCCTCACAGGAGATGTTCCAGGCCCTCTATTATCTTTGTGGCCCCATGCTGGATTCCTTCGACTTGATCCCTGTCCTTTCTGAACTGGAAGACCGGTCCTATATCAACAACATACTCATGGGACCAAGAATGATGGTTCTCACAGGGACCAAGGCCATAGTGCTGCGAGCAGGCTGTGGGAGGGAGAGAAGGAACAGGTATATTCCCATTACCAGCCACACCACACCCTAGAGCCAGCTTTCTCAATCTCCATCACACAAGATGATGAGGTGGCAGAATCTTCTTGCAAGACTGGAGTGGGTGATGCCTTTTTCCTGGGACACCTTTACCTTGTTCTGGGATGTCTTTGATCGCAGGGGTTTTGTTGGTGATCCCCCAGCAGCCAATAACAGCACAAGGTGCTGGTAGGATTATGGCACATGGGTCAGAACAGACCTAGTGATGCCATGTTGTGTCAGCAGAAAAGCCACCAGAGTTGGCCAAGGCCAGGAGCTGGCTGTACTCACAAGTACTGGTAGGCTGTGCAGGATGATTCTGCTTCCAGGATTCCAGCAGCATATTGCTTCTATTTTCATAGTCACCAGTAACACAAGACCTGGCATCTTCTCAAAGATGAGAGGAGGTTTGGAA